AAAATGGCCTGAAGAGTTTGAGTAATCTGGGATGCTGGTGCAAAGCTATCATTGAACAGGTGTCCCAAGATTTTCTTAGGTCCTACTGGTTTTGAAAACATTGCTACTAGGCATCACCATCCTTTGGAACAAACTTTCTTCTCCCACCTGGTCTGAGGCATCCGAGACATTCTGAGCAGCTGAAGAAAGCTGTGCACCGTCTTCCCCAAAAAAACGCTCTTGCCACGAGTTTTGCCTGTTATTTCAGGTGCCTCAGAGACCTCTGAGAACCCATGTGTGTAGCCTAAGTTAGGGAGTTCCGTCTTGTAGAGCTTGTGTTCCCCTCCTTCCTCTCCTTCTTCCCCTTTCCCGGTCCCTTTCCCAATCTCCAAGCTTTCCCTTCATCCTCTCCCCACCCGACCAATTGAGTCTCTTGTCTCATTCCCCCACTCTAGCCAGAGGTTGTAAAAATTGACAGAGGTTACAGTTTATATTCCTGAACACATGAAAAAATGAAAATCAGAGGAATCGGTATAGTTTCCATTTAAGCTGGTTTTCAAAACACAGAGTACATCTGTTAATGAAATACTCTGGCCAGGATTTCACAAAATATAATCTTTGGACTCTTTGAGGGAGAAAAGACAACGGAGGAGACCGGTGATCTGGGAAAATACGTGTTTTGCTTTCTTCTGTTGTCAAGGACATGCTTTCTGTTACAGAGCCTGATACGGGGCCCTCTTATGCCACAGGAAAAGTCATCTTTGGAGTGCAGAGGTGAAGCACAGATGTCTACTCAGGCTTGGCCAGAGTCTTGCAAAAATGTTCGGGGCCTGGATCCCACCAGCAATTACAGGGCTCCAGTCACTCAAAATTCTTAATTATAGAGACTAATTGACTTGTTACTAATTGGAATCAATCTATCAATCTGACACTGGCTCAGTGATAAAAATTTGAAGTGTGTTGCAGAGGAAGATCATTCAGATAAACTTAGATGCCTTAGTTCAGATAATCAATGTTAAAAATAGAAATCATTTGTGGGTGGGCCACAAATGATCACTGTACTTTAGTGATGGTGATTTAAACCCTTACATTTTGTGTATTTCTGTATTTATTATGATAATGAGCTAGATGTTTACATGGAATTGGTTTGCCCACATTTAAGTAAATAGGGGCGAAAAACAAATGGAGTTTTTAGAAACCTATATGTAGCCATCATATTTTGTATGTCGGACATTTCCTTTTTAAATTCCCGTTGCCGCATTGTAACAATAGCACCATGTTGAAAATGTGGACTTCATCCCTTGGGTGCTAATGGGGTCTAACAATGCGCAGTAGGAGGACAGTAAAGAGTTTCCATTATAGGCCACAGTGCTGGCTTTTCAAGGGCTTGTTTAGAAGCAAGGGTGGCCCTTGTCGGACCTCTGGGAGCTCAGGTTCAGGTGCCCGCTATTCCCGGAGTGATCAAAGTGGCTCACTGTGCCTGAATGACATGGTGTATGGTGAAGTCTGGAGTTGGGATGGGTCTCAGGCAGAGAGTGCTGACACGATCAGCCCCCTAAGCAAAGCTGTAGGCACCGAGTGTCTCATGAGCTTTCCTGGTTGGTAGCACGTCATAGCCACTGTCAGGAGCGGTCACTGGGGCATGACTGGGTCCTGGGTGACTCTGTGGGAAGAGGAAACTTGGTAGCGTGCTCCTTTCTGGCCCTTGTCCCTTTACTCAGTCTGCTTCGTGTCTGTTTGGTGCAGTGAGTCATAGCGATGAGTCTTGTGAGTTCTGGAAAATTATTGGAAGTGATGGTGGTTGGAGGCTTCCCCGTCGACAAGAAGATACAGTCACTACCTTTAAGGAGGTCGTGGATGAGTAAGGGAGTCAAATACATACATCTGAAACCACAGCACAAGGTTAGGGTTGGGTAACAAAAGCACTATAAGAAGGGATGTGGCTGGCCTGTAACACCAGCACTAGAGGTTGAGGCAGTAGGATCATCATGACTTCGAGGCCAACCTGGGCTACATAGTGAGTTCAAGGCCAGCCTGAACTGCATAGTGAGACTTTGTCTCAAAAATAAGATAATAAAAGAAAAAAGGGGGACCAGAAAATCTCAGCACTCCAAGAGGCTGAGGCAGGAGGATTACAAGTTTGAGCCCAGCCTTGGCAACTTAGCAACTCAAATTTTTTTTAAAATTACAAAAAAGGGTAAGGGATATAGTTTAGTATGAAGTCCTTGGGTATAATCCCCAGTGCCAGAGAAAAAAAGGGGGTGGGATAAGAACTAATATTGCTTACAACTAGATAATTAGATATGGACTTCAGTCATTTCAGTGTTTTATAACAAATTTAATAGTATTTCCTATTAGGATTTTTGAAAGAATCCCACTAGACTCGGGTTAAATGGAATTTATGGGTGGTCATCACTTTGCTAGAACTCAGCAGACCAGACCAAACCAGAATGGGTTCAGTTGTGCTAGATGCCCCATAGTCAAGCTGAACTTAAAACCTGAACCAGTTTAAAACAAAAACAAATTCACAGCCACCAGTCAGAAGGAGCACCGCAACCTGAGCTGGGGTTGAGACGTCTCCTACAAAGAAAGAAGTTTGCAGTGACCAATCTGCTTCTCGTTCCTCATTTCTGCTCACTTCAGCCCTTTCCTGCCTGGAAAACCAATGCCCGCTGCTTGACTCATTGGAGCTCCTCCTCCATTTTGTAGAATGGGATGCTGCCCTGATTCAAGAGCTGGAAGTAAAAGCAGTTAGATCATTAAATGTGTTGTAATTTTGCCTTTTGAAGCAAATTTTATTTTCTAAGCACAGGGGTGGTGTCTGCTTTTGGTCAGGAAACATTTACCTGAGCCTCCGGGTTGACTGTTGGCACCATCTCCCCTTTGCTCCCCCCATGCTGCGGTTATACACTTCCTGCTGCGTCCCTGTTGAAATTACCGATGGATCTGTCGGCTCCCTAACAGACTAGAAAGCCCTCCCTTAGCACTGTAGCTACTTGGTGAATCTACTTGGTGCATTTGGGAATTCATTCAGTCACTCATTGAACAAAGATGTGTTGGGATCCAACATGCCAAGCTAGCTTGAGTGTGTTACTGAGATCAAAATTGTTTAAAAAAAAAAAAAAGAAATTCCTGTCCTCCGAAATGTACACTGTACTTGGGGAACAGACAGTTAACATAATAAGTATATTCAATAAACATGGTATTAGTGTTAAGAGGTAAAAATGAGCCAGAGAGAAGGACAAGAAATTGGGGAGTTGATGTTGTAGGTAAGTGGTCTCACTGAAAAAGTGTCATTGATGAAGGGACACAAAGGAAGCAAAGTGGCTGCCTTTTGGGGTATTTTGGTGAAATATTTTCAGGCCAAGAGAACAGTTGGGACTGAAGCCTTTAGGTCTGTGTGTTTAAAGAATTTTAAAGGATTGAGAAGAAAAGTAGTAAAGAATTAAGGCAGAGAGAATGGAAGTTAAGGGAGAGCTGGATAAGGCTTCACAAGCTATGAAAAAGCGCAGGGCTTTTACTCTAAATGTGATGGAAGGGCACTGAGGCATTTTGATGAGAAACCATAACTCACCTCGCTAAACGCTTGTCAAACTAAATGGGCCAAACATAATGCAGAGTAAGCGGGTACAGTGTCTTACCTTCCACAGGACTCACACGTTCATCACCATGTTTAAAGAGGATACTTTAGGTTAGAAGGTTCCAAACTCATTATGTCTCCCAGAAGATCAACCCAGAATTGTGGATAAAATAAAAGAAATCCTGCCCCATTCAGTGGACTTATACACTGCAGATTAGCAAGTCATGTGGAAGGTTAAGCTAGTTTATTTGCAACGGCCAATTAACTCGGGAATTATCATTTTTGTTATTTTGTGGGAATGGGGGTAAGACACTGGAAGTGATTTCAAGTTAAGTTAACAGATGTGAGTAAAAATTTGATAATCTTTACTAGTAAAGATTAGGGAAATTTAAGCCAGAGCACCTATGTTAAATGTGAGGATGAATTTATGCTGATTAGGGCTGTACCTTACTTTTAAATGTTTTAATTATTTGATTAAATTTGTCATTATAATTCCTAGCTAACTGTGTATATAATTTGTTTGATGACTATAGTGGAAGAGAAAGTCTTCATTTATTTTCTTTCTTTTTTTAAGATCTGAGCAATTATAATAGAAAAGCATTTCAAGGTAGCATAAAGACTAGGGGTGTAGTTCAGTGGTAGAAAGCTTCTCAGATTTCTGGGTTCGATCTGTAGTACTGAAGGAAAAACACAAAAGGGTAATTGATTCTGTAAATGACAGGTCCATAAATTTTTAAAAAGTAAGAACATTCTGTATATTTTGTTCATTTTAAGAAGAGTCACCAGCTCTTTGGAAATTATAAATATCAGTAAACGAGGCTCTAGGACACGCTTTCACCTCCATAAATCCAGCTTTCTCCCAGGAGCAGTTTCACTACCACCAGCTCCTGCCTTTTTGCACATCAATATCACAGGATCACAGGAAACCAACCACAGATACATCAAAACATTCCTGGCAGTTGGTACATTTTTTTTCACAGACCTTGTCCCGAAAACAATGAGCAAACCTTGAGATTACAAATGATTTTACTAACAATTTTAGAGACTTTCAATTTTTGACTTCCTGCCTGCAGGAAGGAAATGACAGTTGGAAGCGTGGAGAACAGGTGTTCCCTCTGGACAGAGTATCTTCTGCTTACTAAAATAAAAATCACTGCATCAACACTCCTACGTGGAAGTGAATTCTAACCACAAGAGTCAGTCTTTCCACCGAGGGTTCAGCTTCAGAAATTCAAATCTGTTTTTTTTTTTTTCTTTCCCTACCAGGAAGTTCTTCAACCCAGCATGAAAGTACTGGGTACTAAGACTCAGGGTTCTTTGAATCAGTACTGAACTAACCCAAGTAGACAATTTAGATGGTTTGAAAATGTCCCCATTTGTGTTTTTCCAGTTATTGGCAGTGCGATTGTGTGGCAAATTCATCAGGGGACTTAGAAGGGAAGGAATCAGGACTGGAGTAAACTGGTCCCAGCTGAAGGGTAGGTGGCTTTAAACCCTCTTTTAATTTCCCTTTGTTTTTGTCTCCAAGTCAGGCTCTGGCGTTATTTTCCTTCCAGTAGCTTAATGTTGGCATAATGGCATTCTTTGGCTTTGCCAAGCTCACTAGTTGCTCTGCCAGTCTGTGGGGTATAATTCAGTCAAATGACTCTTTGAAAGAGCTTAAGATTGAAATCACTGAAGGCTATGCCTTGGACCAGACAAATATCACGCAGTCCTCTCCAGGCTGCTTTGTTAATGGCTCAAATCCATCATGGAACATGGAGCTTTTGAGGGTCCCCAGGTTGGTAATGGTTGGGAAAGATGTTGTAGCACTGGCACCTGTACTGTCTTTGCAAATACTGAGAAAGAGTGTATGTAGTGTTTCTTCCAGGATTCGTAATGAGATCAGTCAGTTCTGCAGTCCACAGGGACTTTATCTTTTCTCTCTTACTTTGGGACCAAAAGGAGCTATTGCTGTGGCAGAGAGCGACATGGTGGCTGTGACTGGAATGCAGCCCTGCAAGGATAAGGGGACCAAGGGAGGAAATCAAGGGACTGAGTGGATAGATTATATTGAGACATATAGAATATGGCCTTCCCTGAAATCTCAGTGGCAGCAACGGTATTCTCACGGAGTAAAGGGCAGTTAGCTGTTACTCAAACCCGGCACATCCCTTACTTACACTTCGCATCTTCGTTCCTTCCTTCCATGAATACGTAGTAAGGCTCCCTTATGTGCTCGATATGGTGCTGAAAATGGATGGATTCAAATTCCCATTATAAAAGAGAGAGAGAAGGGTGCAAGAGAGGAGAGGGCAGGGGAGGACATGTCTGGTCGGGAAATCATCCAACTCTTGCCCCGTCTTCTGCTCGCTGCTCGGCTATCTTGCCGCGCTGTAGTACCGCAGCTTTGTGGAAGTGAAATTTGTTTATCTGGCCCCTGCTTACGGAGAAGCAAGGGAAAATAAACCGGCGAAGGAAAGATTTAAAAACAAATAGATCCTGAAATTTCTTCAGTCACATTTACTATTTTAATCGCATTTTCTTCGTCTAAAAGCCTTTGCTAATTTTTGTGCCTGTGAAATATGCAAACTATGATGATGTTTATTTTTGTGTGTTTTGTTGCTTTTCTGTTTTTACTTTTTTTTCTTTTGGCAGTGTTAAGAATAGCTAAAAAATGTCCTTCATTCTCCCTCCCAAGCTCAGGGACAGCACTATTAACAGTTTGATGGGTAGTTTTCTGGATTTGCAAATTTACATATAAGTCTACAGCTATATTTTAAAACAAAGTGGCATCGTGTCATTCATATTGTTGTACAAAGCATCTTATCTGTATTGGTCTCTCCCCCCTCCATGTCCACATAACTCTTTCTCTCTCTCTTTCTCTTTCTCTCTCTCTCTCTCTCTCTTTCTCTCTCTCTATCATCTCTCTAGCTACCTTTCATGAGCATTCTTATGACTGATTTTCAAAGGAAAGGTTGTAGTCACACACGGAGAGGATTGCTGTAGCAATACATGGCTACTGCTTTGAGTTAACAGAAAGATGAACACAGGTCCAAAGTCACCTCCTCTGAGGAACCTTCTCTGATTCACTTCGCTTTGATTTTTATTTTATTTTATTTTATTTTATTTTTGGTTTTTCTCCGGTACCGGGAACCGAACTCACGACATTGCGCTTTCCAGGCAGGCGCTTTGCCACTGAGCTAAATCCCCAGCCCTCGCTTTGATTTTTAAAAATCCATTGTTTCCCCCCGAATCATCTAGTATATTTACATGCTGTCTCCAAATATTTGGCCCCTGCTGGTAAACACACTCCTTTGTTTGTTTTTTACTCGAACCCTTTTATTTGCAAAGAGCAATGGTCCTTTCTGTAAGAACACATACAAACCGGGAAATTCAGTACACGAGGCCCCTGTGGAAAATGGTCTTCCATGGGATGCTTGCTTCTCTCTGTCAGTCTCTTTCAACTTCTCACTGTCCAGCTCAGCATCCTCACTCTGCACACTCTTATGTTCATGTGCTGTTTGGCTTTTATTCATTCATTCATTCATTTATTCACTGACAACATTCACTTATTCATTCCATTCTTTCATCATGTAGTTAGTGACTATCCCTAGCATGCCAGGGATTGTTCTAGCATGTACAGTTTGGCTTGCTCTAACTCTAACTCCAAATCCTGGCCTTCTTTCACTCTGCTTAGTGCTTCTTAGCTCAGTTCCGGGGGATGAGATCTGACTGGCTTAGCTGATACCAAGCCTTGTGTTGATAGCTGGATATTCTGTGGCCCAAACACAATTGTTGTTTTTTAAATATTTGATGCACTTTTAGACTAGGGAGATTTGCCTGGAGGAGGCTGGGTGGTGGCAGGGTAGAGCCCTTCATTCACAGCCCTAACCTGCCTAGCCCACTCAGGTTTTACCTGCGGCTTTGGGTCAGCTCCCGTGGGGACCATGCTGATCCACCCACAGGAAATGTCCAATAGACAATGTTAACATGGCCGGTCCTCCTGGCAGCGCCGCACCTGTGTTCCATGCGCGTCACTGACTTTCCTTTCCAAAGGATCAAATGATTGCTTTTTCACTGCCTGCCATCTCCCTTCCCCAAATCCTTTATGGAATGTGAAGGAATATATCCTCAGTGGAGTTCTCTAGCATCACTTTCCCTAGTTCCTGCTGTGCCCCAGCAGATTCTTATTTACCACTGAAACCTGCCTGAATTTTGTTTTTTCTATCAGAAATGTCACCAACACCCTGTCCATCTTGATTGTCCTTATCTTACCTTTCCCTTGCCTGAGCTCAAAGATGAAATCCTCCCATGTGTTACTATAGCATTTAGCTTATCCTCTTGACCTTTGTCCCTTCTTGTTGTTTCTAGGTTTATTTTCATCACTGAACTGTGAACGTTCTCAGGAACCCCTGTCCTTAACGCATCTTCACGCTTTTAGGCCTAGTAAAGAAAGCAGGCACCACAGATACCCAAATATCTTTTCTGAAGAAAGGATCTGTGAACACAATTGTGTTTAAATATTGGATTTGCTTTAAGACTAGATATGGGTAGCTCTTAGCGTGTTAGTTCTGATAACAGGTTTCTAATATTGCCATTTTGGTTTCCTGACCAGTGAAATAAAAATAATGTCAATCTGTGTTAGATAGCAACCAATCTGCAATAATGGATAAATGTAAGTATAAGGCAGGATATCAGTTAGGAGACTGAAAAGGGACCCCAAACTCCTGTGTTAAGCACTGTGAAGAAAAATGAGAGGTAGTTTTCCAAAGATGAAAGCTCTGGGTTTGCATATCTCTGCCTGAATTTGCCTAGGCATAAAAATAGACTAGTGGATTACATCTCCTTTTCCTATTTGACTCAAATATTATTCCCATGTTTCTATTTAACAAAAGTTGAATATTGTATAAATGATTTTGTGTGAAAATCATCAATGAATACTTACATTTTAAAAGCCTCTTTTTAAAAAGCAGTATTCCAAGGCACATTTTAGAGTTCATTTGATCTCACAACGGATGTGCAAATACACTGTGGAAGTAACCACTAACACAACGGCCTGTGTCTTTAAGGGACTGTGACTGTTAAGTTAGAAGATCATCGAACCATGTGAGGGTCAATAAAAGAGTACGGTCACTGGTTAGCGATTCCAGGATGAGGAACTTGAACCTGGCTCAGTATCTGTGTGCCTATGTGCTGCTCACCACCGAAGCGAGAGAGCGCTGGATCCAGGGAAGCCTGCTGTTCCTCAGGATGGCTTCTGGAAGGATAATTAAGCTTGTGGTTTTTGAGCTCCTTGAGTTTGCTGCTTTCTGCATCCCCACACTTGTGATTATGGAGCAGTTTGCCACTGCCTACCACAGGGCAAGGAATATGTCCGAGAGAACATGGTATTGGCTGACCGTTTCCTGTTCTATTGCTTACGTGGCTGTGGTGACTCTGTTGATCTGGGTTCCCGTAAAAGTTCTTTTATACAAGAAGTGCCATCTTTACAAAAAGGTTACCGGATGGTAAGTAAAAGAGGTCTTTAGCTGGAAAATTCCTGTGATGCTTTTAGATAATTTCTAATGTGTATGTTACAGATGGATGTGTGCATTACATAAGTGTTAATAAGGTGAGATTAATGGTGTGGTTACAATCACTGTTTCTGTATTGTAATGATAGGATCTTCTACATTTTCTCTGGTCCTTTTTCTAAGCAATAACAAACTACATATGTTAATAAGAATGGTGTTAGCTGAGTACCTGAAATCCTAAGATGTAAACATTGCACCTAATTTCTCTGTACACTGAATTGCATAGTTGCCAGGGTTAACTTTCACAAATCCTAGTAGTGAGACTTTAATGTAAAATTTTACTTTGGTGTAAAACTGAAACTAGTATCTGTTTTTAAATGTTTACATGGCATTTTGTAGATCCAAGGCACCACTGCATCATTAACCCTTACTGAGAATTGTAAGCAATTGGTTTGTTTACTTAGAGTTTAAGAAATGCTTCTTCACAATGTTGGTAAATCCTATTGCCCTTGTGGTGGGAAAATACTTTTTCAATGATAATAGAGATACATTTTAAAGAAATCAAGTTTTATTTATTTATTTATTTATTTAGAAATCAAGATTTAACTTTGGTTTAACTAGCAGTTTCACTAGACTCATCTGTGTAAAGGTACTGAGAACAAATAATCCCTGATGTCAATGTATTTTTCCTTTTAGATATTTACACCTGATATCTTTTTCTTTGATAAGTTAAAACTTTTTCTCTTCCTTCCTTTTTTTTCAAAACTGGACCTTGAACCCAAGGTCTTCACACTGAGCTACAACCCCAGCCTCTTTTTTAATTTTTCATTTTAAGACAGAGTGTCACTAAGTTGCTAAATTGCCCAGGCTAGGCTTGAACTTGTGACCCTCCTGCCTTAGCTTCGCAGACTGCCAGGATTACAGGTGTACTCCACCACTCCCAGATAAACTTTCTTTCATAGTGATCTTTTATTTTAAAATAGAACAGTATACGCACACTTGAAAATCAAGCAGTTGAGAATTGAAACATAACAAAGGCAGAAATGTAAGGATAATGCATACAGAAAATAATCAGAAATGTCTTTGGGAAGATGCTGAAGAGGAAGAGGCCAAGTGTGGGTGGAGTTGGAGATGCGCTCTTTAGATACAAAGACCAGATGTGGTCCCCTGAAGCTTTTCAGAGGATTTTTCTGTTTTCCAAAGGTGGCGCTCTAACATGCCCCGAAGTAAACATTTTGTAGTTGGCCCTGCTTTTATTAACGGGGCATAGGGAACTTTCTAATCTTGACTAGATCCCTGGGGTCTCCTATGGTGCAACTGGGACCTAGAATGGACCCTCATCTCTCACAACCTCTAGGGATAATGCTTTGATTGTGCAAGACTCTGGTTGAACTAGAAATTGAGAGAATAATAGAAGGTCCAAATGACAGCAAAGTTAAACCAGCAGGAAGCTGGGCCCCTACATGCCAAGTTTGTTGGGGATTTGTTTTCACATTGGCTCAAATCCCTAGGACTTTGGCTGTGACTCAGGCAGAAATCTTTCCCATATCACGTATTGTTATTATCAGCATTATTATTATTAAGCTATGATTGGATCTTTAGAGATTATTTATTACAGGCCATGGGCTTCCTCCAGGATTTCATTTAATTCTGTACCTCATATAATATCTGTACCTCATATAATAGTTTAACTGAATGAAGTAGATCTTTTAATGAATTTATCATTAGTTTTTCCAACAGGAAAATGATGATTAGAGAAGTTAAGCTATTTGCCCCTCAGCCAACTAGTGAGTGAAAGAACTGCACTTTAGACTTAGGTCTCCCTCTAACTGCTATTCCTAATCACTACCCTAGACAACCTCTTTGAAGGACAAGGTTCCAATTTCCTGGGCAACCTAGATTAAGCATGTGTTATACTCCCCAGGCTATGTGATAATCTAGTGGCAGCAGGCATCTACAGATTTCATTCTGTACATCTGGTCTGGGAACCACCCTGTGCTAAAATAAAGTATCTCAATTTGTCACCACAATTACCACCTTCAGTGATTTCTTTTTTTTTTGGTTTTTCTCCGGTACCGGGAACCGAACTCACGACCTTGCACTTGCCAGGCAAGCGCTTTTGCCGCTGAGCTAAATCCCCAGCCCCAGTGTTTTCTTTTGGGATATCTTCTCCTAGCCTTTAGTTTCTGTTTGTGGGTGTGACTGGTCATAAATGCTTTAGAGTTTATAGTTTCAGTGAACTATGAAACTATTTGTTCAAGGCCTCATTAATGAGTACTGCCATAGAGTGATCTCTTAGTGGCATGAAAGAGAGGAAAACCATTAAACATTATTCTAGGAACTTTGCATGCTCCGTGTTTGCTATTGAATGTTAACATTATGACAACCCGATATAGTACAGGTGCGGATGTTCTCATATCGTCGATGAAGAAAGAGAAACCTAAAAAGTGTTTAACTTTGTAGAGTGATAAACCGCTAAGATTTGTAAACCCAGATCTATCAGATTCCATGATGTTTTCTATATCTCCTGCTATTTCTCCCTTATTCTTTTGAGCTTGAATGCTAAGGCTGTGTCAAGAAAAATACAACTCTTTAAATGCCTTTAGGATACATGTTTCCCAAAGATATGTGTTTCCGTATTATCTACAGATGATCCCCATAGATTTGTAGTTGGATATTACCTATGATGATATACAGGGTGTCAAGTCTTAATTGTTCAATAAAGATGATATGGAAATAATTGATACTCTAGAAAGTAGGAATTGAGAATAAGAATTAGTTGGCCATGGTGGCTCACACCTGTAATCCCAGCACTCTCGGCAGCTGAGACAGGACAAATATAAGTTTGAGTCCCACCTGAGCAACTTAGTGAGGCCCTATTTTATTTTTTTTTAATTAATTTATTTTTATTTTAAAGAGAGTAACACATGAGAAACAAACAAAAAAATAGAACAGTAGCAGCATACCAGTATCATGAACATAAACAAATCAAAGCAAGAACATTCAGAGTGATTCAGGGTCTCAAGACAAATTAATGCAAATCAACAGTGGTTGTTACACCACACATTGCCATCCTCAACTACATTGCTCAGATTATCAGATGCAAGAATGAAAGACTGCTCAAACCATTAAAGAGAATAAGAAAATAATTCTTCAATAAAACATTAGAGATAATACAGAGTTTCACTAGACAAGATGGTAGGAGTTCACCACTGTAATTCCACTGCATATTGTTACCTTCAAATCAGTTGCTCAGACCACCAGACACAAGCATGCAAAGTCGATCAGAACATAAAAAATTGTGAGCAACTCTTCTTTTCAATACACCATCAGACAAGAGCAATACAGTCATCACAGATATTCATATATATATTTATGTTTTGCCTTCCTTCTTTCTTTTTTCTACTTTCCCTCATCCCAGTCATTCCTTCAGATGAGCAATTTCTTTCCCTTTCCTATCATCTAGTGTACGTTTTGAGTTTTACCTAGTCTTTCAGGTTCCTACATCAAGGAGACAATATGATGTTTACACATGTGG